CAAAACTGAGAGCCATGAAGGAAAAGATCGATACCTCTGACTGTCCATCGATGTAGAACTTCTGGACATACAAATGATCACTGATAGGCGAATAAATAAAATATGGTATATATTCAAGCCACCATCAGAATGGGTGGGAATAAATCTACACGGACCCCCAATCCAAGCCACCAAGTGGAAAAGAGTCCAAGCGTAGAATATTATGTACAGCATGATTTCCTCTTGATTTAGAAAAAATGCCTAACGGTATATATTGCTACCCATAGAAGGATGCTGACACAGAGAAGCAAGTCAAAAGAAACTAAACTATTAACAGTGATTAACTTGCACATAATGGACTAGAGAGAGAACGAAGCTTTTCTTCTATACTTTTGTAAAGTTTGAAGTTTTATGAAAATGTGTCAACTAATATAATTAAAAGTGAGAAAAATAAATCTATATCTAACAGTATAAAAACTAGTACAAATAAAATGAAAATGTGGGAAAAATGTTTCTGTGAAAGGTGTTTTGATTTATAAAAAGCTCTTAAAATCAACAACAACAAAAACCTTTGGGAGACCAACAGAAAAGTCGACCAAAAAAGACATGAATAAACAGACGTGGATTTTTGGGCACAGTGGCATCTGCCCATGGTCTTAGCTACTCACGAGGCTGCTCAAGAGCACGGGACCCCAGGAGTCTGAGGGCAGCCTAAGCAACATAGCCAGACTCTGTCTCCCATAAATGAGTAAATAAAAATGCAGACCAAAAAAAGTTCAGCTGCGTTAATAATTTAAAAAATACAAATTAAAACAAAACGTAATTGTTTATCTATCATTAAAAAAATTTTAAACTATATCAGTAGGATAAATAATTATCAAACCTGGATAATTGTAAACTGGAGACTTGACGGGCTGAGTAGGCCTAGGACCTAAAAAGAAAAGAGAGTCTAACAATTCTCTATCAATTCACTAGTCTTATCAATACAAAACTATGGGCTTAATTTTGATATTTGATTTTTTAAAAAGATTATCAAAATGAAAAATACGCATACTTTCTAAACCTTGCAGTTCTACTTGTGGGAATTGCACCTGTGTAACTACTTGACCTACATACATATGTGTACAAGTATGGAAGCATATACATACAAAAGTTCTCACTACAGATTTGTATTTTTGGGATTTTTTGAGGCAGGATCTCACTACATAGTTAAGCTGGCTTTGAACTCACTATTTAGCCCAGGTTGGCCTCAAACTCATAGTGATCCCGCTGCCTCAACTTACTGAGTGCTGGGATAGCAGGCGTGTGCCACCATGCCTGACTTGTCTTTGTATTTTGTAATGTAAATTCTAGAAGTTAACTAATAATAAATCACAAAAGTAATGTGGTAACCATATGTATCTTTTTTAAATGAAAAAATCCAATGGCCTCACACTACACAATTTGCATCTTAATAGACTTAGTATTTCTTGGACATTTTTTCATATTGGCACATTTAAATCCACTACAACATCATTATATATTGCTGTTGATATAGTCTTTCCCTAACTGATGAAAAAAAATGATTCCATCAGGAATTTTGAATTTTTTTGTTTTTAAAAGATCCCTGAAGTCGTTTTTCTTCATAAACATTTTCTAGCAATCAGTACTCTGCTCCTCTTTCAAACTCCAAGCCAAATTGGTGTTTTACATACCCTTTAAATCAACTCTTTCAAAAGAGAATAACAGTAACCCTAGTGTACTGTAGGAGACCAGCTTGAAACCACATTGAGCAGGGTATAAGATAATAGTGAAAGAAAAGCCCGGGTCCTGATGGCTTCACTGTGGAATTCTATAAGACATTTAAAGAAGAACTATCGCCATTACTCTTTAAACTCATCAAGGACATTGAAAGGAAAGCAAGGCTTCCAAATTCATTCCTGGAAGCAAGTGTTACTTTGATTCCAAAACCAGGGAAAGATCCAACCTAAAAAGAGAACTACAGACCAATCTCCCTAATGAACATAGATGCAAAAATCCTCAACAAGATACTGGCAAACAGAATACAGAAGGTCATCAAGAAGATCATACACCCTGACCAAGT